AGCTCCCAATCAACAGGATCAGGAATACTTGAATAAAACATGGCCTAAATATCGCCTAAACTGAGCATTGAACGTCTTGAAAGTCCATTCGACTATGGATATGGGGAATGATTTCATATCTGAAACAAAAAACACACACACAAAAAAAAACTAATTTCATATTTTATCACTTAATAGCTTAATACAGACATAATATTTAGTGATATACAGCCTTATTCTAGCGTATAGGGGAATTAAAACCATTTCTCACCTCGAAATAGTCAGAAATACGTTTCTGCTGCCTATTGCTAGCCAAGCCTTAACGAATGTGAGGTGACGGAAGCTTCAGGGGGAGTAGCCTAGTTTTTTATGAAATATTAAAATAATGAATCATTAGTTTATATCTTATACACAGCCCATCATTTTAATCCCATATCAAACACAGTGTTTTAAAAATAAATACATAAATAATTTCATGTTTTTAAGTACAATATTATGTTACTCCACAGCCCCCCACCATGGGGGGCTGATGCTATGACGAGGGAGGCTGCAGCCCCCGCAGCACCCCCCTTCCCGTGCCACTGGCTTCCTGGTCTGAACCCTGAATAGAATCTCTTGTTTTCTGTTAAAGGAAAAGTCTGGTCATATTCACAATGCAGACTTCTGAAAATACTTTAAATATGAAATTGGTGCCTGCCATTGCAGTGCAAGGAGCATATAATGCTATTCTATGCTCCGTGCAATGCATGGAGGCACCTATTATTATTGTGGTCAAAAAAATCACTCTTTATTTATTTATTTACTTATTGGTGCCGTAGGATTTATTTTTTTCCTCAAAGCGCCTCCAGACTGACCAAAAGCTCATGAAATTTTGACCGTTGTTTTCATTGGTTTTCAACAAGAAGATTGAAGATGAATGTGACTAAGCATTTTAACTAGTGGTGCACCGATACCAATACCAGTATCGGACGGGGCCCCGATACTGCCCTAAAATGGTGGTATCGGTATCGGCGAGTACCAACAAATAGGGCACCGATACCGTTTTGAGAGCCATAAGTTTATTCAACTATTGTCACCCATTCCTGGTAGGCAATAAAAACTTCTACAGGATTCACTTTGTATTAGATTTTTTCCTGCTTCACAAAGTTAGGCAGCAGCTCGACAAAGCCATGATGGCAATTATTTTACATTATTATGGTATCGGTATCGGCCGATACTGCACAGCCAGGTATCGGGTATCGGTATCCGGGCCAAAAAATGGCATCGGCGCAACACTAATTTTAACGTCATAAATATCGTTCTGAATGACGTATATTCACCAAAGCACAATCGAAGTCGAGGGATGGCTGCTTACAGTGAAACCATTTTTTGAATAACCTATACGGTTTTCGCTCAGCACTCATTTGTTCGGAGGGCTTTTTCAGCATCTGAAATCTCATAGTCACTATATAATATAATCAGCAATTTATTGCACTATAGGGATCTTTATCATTACCCCAGCCTTGACTAGCTCTGGGACACCAGTCATTGGCAGGTGTGGTGACGGCAGCAGCCACTAGCTGTTGGGACATCAGTCGCCCACTAGGTGTGGTGACGACAGTCGCTAACAGGTGTTGTGAAGCCAGTCCCCAGTAGCTGAGGCGATGCAAGTCACCACTTGGTATGGTTATGTCAGTCACCATCAACCATGAACAAGCAATTTGCCATCTGGTATAGTGATATATGCCAATGTAAGATTAATCCAACTAACCCCATTAAGCCTTTGGTTCCAGTCCAAGTATTATGCCCACACGGATATGCACCAAGTGGCAGGCACCTCCAAAATTTCCTTGGGGAAATTTCTAGTTATAACATACTGTAGTTATTACATGATAAGTGTTTCTAATTGTTCAGTTCCCAACTAGTCTGCTGGATGCTGGATTGAATGACAGGTGTTTCACACCAATCAGACAGGCGCTGTTCCTGAGGCAACTGCCCCACTATTTCCAGGCAGAGAGGCATGACTCATCATTCCTGAGATCACATCTCCACCGCATTAGAGTCGGGGGGTTTATGCTGGGTTGGAAGTTACACCTTATCCTTGGTGTTGCAGCCACTGAATGGTGGGAATTCACTGTTCTGGAGCTAATCCAAGGGACACATGAAGTTAGGAGATCTATATTTGTAGACTGCTGAAAGCTTGTAGCCTTGGTGTACTTTGCACCACAGCATTGGCTCTGCCAGCTCTAACATTTTAACATGCACTCCCACTTCTGTGGCCATTGAAGATGCCGGACCACCTGTGTTCAATTATTTGGATGGTTGAGTAAATGCTTTTATTATGGTGTCAGGATTACAACAAAAGTGAACCACCAGTGTATAGCTTATCATGCTCTACGGGTGCATTGGGGTCACCGATATTCATTCACCACAAGCTTATAAAACACTAAACAAGAGTATTCTGCCCCCCAAACACACAGTGAACGTCCCATGTGCACAATTAAATGACCCCCTCACTCACATAAAAAAACTTGGCAAATTGAATGAATGATTGGTGCTTTGCCAGTGCAGGTTTTTACAGTTAAAACTATTATTTGTCCTACTTTTGTGTCTGGCAGATTAAAGATAATTGTTTTTTTTTTTAGGTCATCCAGAGGTCACCATCAAGCTACAAACAGAACTAGAGTGTTCTATTTTTTAAATGTTTCGTTGGTGCCGATTTCTCCAGTTGTGCTGCTTTGGTTTTTAACATATAATTATTTTTAAATTTGGCCGATGTCACCACCATCCAACCAGATGTAACTTTTTTCTGAATATAAACCTATTGCATCACATCATTTGGCATTTCTGTGCTAGAATTAAATATATAACAGGGGGCACGTTCACCTTATTTAGAGGTAAACATGCTTTGATTGTGATCTGCCATTACCCCTGGCAACGCCATAGCAGTATCTGTTAAAATCAGGTAGCAGGACTTCCCAATGAAATCATTATTGGCTGTGTCTGAACGTCCTCCCTAACCCCTTTATCCCTCAATCACTATATACAGCAGGGACTATGTTAGTAGGGAGTACAGTCATGTATAGGGAACTCAGTTAACTGACCGTTCCGACAGATGATCACTGCTTTTCGCTCCCTGTTGGTCACCTGACTCCGCCTTCCCGCACGGTGCCCGCTGTATCTTTGTTATATGTGAGTGCTGTTGCTACCCATAACTACCCATAAGTCGCATAACAAATCCTCGCATAGCAATCTGGTATGTTTCTGCTCAGGGACCATGGATTGTCATTACCTTTCAAGGTGCATTGTGGGAAATGTCGAGTCCACTACTTTTTCATCCAGTAGACCAGATGTTGCATGTAGTCCGACGGCAGTGTCTAATTTCACTTGCGCCGCTTCTCCTGTTACTATTGTAAAGCCCTCAGGAGTGTCCGGCACCAGGCGGCACATGATAAAAATTATCCAATGAACGGCTGTCAGTCTGGGCTGCTGCTGCTGCTACTTTTGAACACAGCAGGCAAACCTGTGGCAAGCCGGGCGATGGGAAAGAAGGAGAAGATGATGAGAAAAAGAGAGCAGAGAAAGTGTGGACTGCTGGAAGAACTGTGGTGAACTGGTGAAAGAAAAGTGAAATGGTGCTCAAAGATGACCCTGCACATTTAGAGGATGTTTGGCTCAACCTGCTGCTGTGAAGCAGGATTCTCCACCATGAACAGAATCAAAAATAAATATGGATCCAGGCTCAAAATGAGCACCTTGATACGTGCTTTAGAATGGCTTAGTCTCCATTCAAACCCAGGTTTAAAGCCTTGCAGGGCAGCATAAAGCCCACTGCCAACATTAAGACGGAAAAAAGAAAGAAAAATAACAAACGCTCAGTTCAGGTGTTTTATAAAATCTGTGAAATAAAGAAATTGTCAAAATACCAAATTGAACAATTGTTTTTCTCTGCTTCAAAAAACACTTTAGATTTTAAAATGGAAAAATTTTCTCATTATTTTAAAAAAAAATTTTTTATTATTTAATGTATAGCATGGATGCATAAACATCCCATTTTATTTCAGTGTTAAATTGTGTTTAAAGTAACGAATTATAATCAAAAATGTCTTCAGACCTTTGCTGGTTGATGATTTTCTTTATTCGGAACCCGCTGTTTTTTAATTGGTTACCCCTGCACTAGACATTCAGACACTCATCTAAAATGAAGAAACCACTATATAGAGCACTATATGGTGATTAGGGCGAACATTCAGACACAGCCTTTTGTCTTGATCCTGACATCATATTTAATCAGTAAGGTCTATTTATAGGTGTACGTATATTCTTGCTTCTGTATCCTAGTGACTGACAGTTAGTGAATACATTGCATTACTTACTTTTCATAATAAGTTGAGCACTGAAGTATAGCAATAAAAAACAATCAACCTTTTCATTTATTCTAAAAAAATAAATAAAAAAGTCAGATAAAAATAGACTTTAAAATAACTCTTAAAACAGGTACACTAGTAATGCAGTATATTCATACCTGACTGTGTAAAGCAGAGCCAGATTCTATAAGTGGGACATCTCTACCGTGCATTACTGGAATGTAACTTGTTTATTAGTCACTTGAGACACTCAGCCTCTACATGGCCCCACAAGCACGAAAAAGCAGCTTTCCCACCATTTTTCTTTTTTTTCTTACAGTATCCTTGCAGCTTGTTGTTCATGCTCTTCCTGTGTAGGGGCCTCACACAGTCCCTGTAAATTCAACAGCTTCTCAAGTCACTGACCAGGGTAAACAAACATACAGCTAATGTCTGGGACTGTGAGGTGGAGCTGGGCCACAATATCTGTGCAGCTGTTTCTTTTCTGTCGGCTGAGTTGAGGGTAAGTGTTGAAGCTCTAAACCTTCTGCCCACCCTGGCTGAGTAGGGGGGAGGGGTACTCTGACGGCTCAACCCAAGGTAAAAAGGGTGCCATGGTCCTGGAAATGGAGACTCCTGAGTATGACTCGGCCAGTTGGGCTGGGGGTGGGGTGAGCAGTTGGGATGGGTGCTGTCTGCCTTGAACCTTTAGAAGACAGAAATCCTTCTGCTGCTCACTTGCCTTTTTGCAGTTCTTACTTTCTCTCTTACCGTTTCTCTCAGCTTCCCATCTGTATGCTATTTGGGCCTGGCTCAGGGGAGAGGCAATCCCACAAGGGGAGAGAAATCAGGCAGGGAGGGAGGAGAGGGAAGAGAGGAAGTCCACAAGAGTTAGTTTAACTGGATTCAGCAAGGGCCAGGCAAGGGGGCAGTGCTGAATCTGGACCTTAGGAGGAGCGGAAAAGTTAAGTGAACGGGTGAAGAAGCCCAGAGGACACTGCTTGTGACAGAGACGGAGAGGGGGAGATCGTTGGGCAAACACAAATATGGCTACTAAATCCCTGTCCTTGCTCTGCGTTGTCTCCATCCTCTCAGGGATTGTTTGCACAACTTCTGCCACCAGGTTTGGGGAGCAGCAACTCACTGTACTTCAAGTAAGACTCCTCTACATTTTGATTGGTCTTCTTCTCATGTTATGCGGTGATTCATTTGGTCTGCCTTCCCTAACCTCCTGCTTACATCAATGGTTTTGGCTTGTAGACAAAGGGTCTGGTTCATAAAATGCTGACTGTCTCTGCTGTGTTTTCACAGTGCATTGTGGTCATCCATGTACATGTTTGTTTTAGGGTGACTCTGAGAATGGAGCTCTGATAATCTCTGGAGTTACTGTCTCCCCTGCTGTCATGTGCCTACTGCCCCTCCCTGACAGTTTCTTAATAGAAACAAGCTGCCGGTCTTTAAGCCGGAGTCCAAGGGAAGAAAACAGAGAGGAAGAACATGGGGGACAAGCTGCTTTTAGCTTACAATCCAACTGGCTTAGTTAAGCTTCACAAGGTTACTTAAAAGACTGGGATGACCTACTAAGTTAAGATGTTAACACCAAAAAGGGAAATCTATATTAAACATCTCATTCTTATATGCTTGACTTGCTGAGACCTTACTGTAATCCTCAGCTGCAGTAGCCTAGGTTTTCTTTAAAATACCTTTTAGATTTGCTGTAGTTGATCCTTAAATCACACGTAGTGGATTTGATGTAATTATTTTGTTTTAAACCTGTTAGCACTAACCTGAGTATATTTAGAAGCTAAAACAGCGTTTGACTCAGTGGCTGATTGTTATCTACAAAAAAGGCCAACATGGTAAGCCAATGTCACCCCTTGACGATGTAGACCAGTGTATGCCTGACGTACGAAAAACCTGGTAAAAACACTGGAATACTTTGGATAAGTTATGGCTACGTTTTTGCATAAATTATGAGCACAGTGAAGCATGTTGAAACATGCTGGGGCACGTCGACATACGGCAAGTACATCAAGAACAAATGTTAAGTGTCAGTTACTCATAAGTCATGGCGTCTGGTTTATCCAAAACCTATGAGTAACTTCTACATAACTGATGCATAACCTATCAAGAACTTCTCTCAACACATGTCAACGTATTGGATGTGTTCCGGATGACCGCTCAACGTGTTTCTAACTTCCAGCTACTGTAGAATGGCGTATTGGCAGCATTTTGATATAAATGCTTCCTAAAACTGATGCTTCGTAATGCTTGTGCATCATTTCATTGAAATTACGCTGCCATGCGTCATGCATAAGTTAGGTTGTCGTTGGACATAAGTTCTGGACTAGTTATCAAAAAGAGTATTTATAACGAGTCCAGATGCATACGTTTAAAGGTGAAAAAATCCATAGAAGTTCAGCGTATGCCAGCATTTTAGGAGATTTTGGAACGTTGGGCATACGCTGGCTAAATCGACAAGGTGTGACAGGGCCCTTACCAAGGCAGGGATTTTAAATTGTACTTTTGGACACATCACTGTTTGGCTAAACTAAAAAAAAAAATGCACCACCTTTATTTGAAGTAAATCCATGAAAAACACCAAAATAAGACTTGTTTGCTGGTTAGGCCTCACCTAAGGTCAATGATCATGAGGCGCCTTTCTGATTCTCTGGTTCTCTCTTGCAATACTGTTCAGAAACTGGATTTTTTTTTTTTCTATAAGTTCCACCAATATCTAAAAGTGGTTGACCTTCATTTAATTTGAGGGATTAACTGAATCAAGGCCATTTTGATCCTACTTGTATTGATTGTATTCCTTTGTATGACATGTAATTTTTATTCCATTTGTTAGATAACTTCAGTGTTTTAAGTTTATCATAACCACATCAGTTGATGGAAACATGAATATTTACTGCCAGCACATGGCGGTGGTGTACAACAATGTTGATATCTGCTAATCTTGCCTGGTGCAAAAACTATTTTCAGGCTTAATAGGGACTAAGTAAACATGATCAGGATGAGTCCTTGGGCATATATATTTAAGCATGATCATGGTTTTCATTTTTTTGGTGGCTTAGTACGTGACAATGCCCCTTTAACTTTCCATAGCCCTACCTATAATCAGTCAAAAGGCCTTTCTGAAGCTCTTACAGGGACTAAACCCTTTAACACCAAGTGTATATCTACATAACTTTTTAAAACATCTTCATCATCAGTGTTATATTTTTGCGCTAATGTGTCATGAATTACACAAATAACTTATCTAATAGGTTACTAAAAACCAACACAAGTCCAATTAAAAAAAAAAATTATAATTTTCTGACAAATATTGTATGCATTAGGCTTCATTGGATTGATTTTAAGACCTAGAGCAAGTCTTATGGTCTGTCCTTGTCATGAAACGGGACAGACCACCCATTCACTGACACTCTTGAGGGAGAAACACAGGTTAGTGACCACAATCATCTGACGGGAGATGATTATCTGTGTGAGTCACTTACCTGGTTTAACAGGGCAGTCCATCCTCTCTGAGTAAGGCAGGATCTAGCCAATGCACTGCCAAACGAGATGCGGCGTAGAGCCGCCCGGAGTGTAACCGACACAGCAACCACAGTGACCAGGCAGGAATCCAATCTAGATCAGAAAAAAACATATCAGAGAGGACAGTTCTGGAATCCAGGAGTCGGTAGCCCGGTCAGGGGTTCTGACACAGGAACAGACAGATCCAGGGTTCCAGGAATCCACAGGCTCAGTGGTTGAGGGACAGAGACAAGACATGGTACCAGAATAGCTGCAAAACTTTAAACTAGTCTCCACCTAGGAGCCAGGGCTATGGGACGTTGAACTAGCCTTCCCCTCAGCTGAGCCAAAACAACAACAGAGAGCGCTCAGCGGTAAAGAGCCAGGACACTATCAGGAGACGACAAGACAAACACCAAAACCCTCTCAACCCACTGGCCTCTGAGGACAGGAACATGAACCTTGGAATAACAAAAACTAACAAAACAATCTTACAAACATCAAACAATGATCTGATATAAATGAACAGATGCAGGAGGATAAGATGAGGAATAATTAGGAACCGGGCAAAGTAAGGCAAGTTGAATGAATTGAACAATTAAGGTCAGCTATCAGGGCAGATCATGACAGTTCTAATTTCCAGATAGGCTTTAAACCCCAGAAAGTCCAGCTTAATCACAAATGAATCACAATCAAAAATCTCAAGACTTTTACCCCAAGTCAAGCCTGTATTCTCTTTGTGAAATCTTTTTAATTTTTCCTTTCTGCTGGAGCTGTAACCCTGGTTTATTGTTGGTTCATCAACTCTAAATTAGCTCATTATTAATATTCCATAGTATTTTTTTATATTTGATAGTTAAATAAAATATTCTTTGAATCATTTAATAGGTGTTTAAAGGAAAAGTCCAGTTAGCAAGAATAATCAATGGATCATTATCTATACCAAAAACTAATATTTTTGCGGTAATTCAATGAATTTAGCGTTAATCAATTAAAAAAATAAAATTAATAATTTTCGTTACGATCACTGAGTCTGGGAGCAGCCATTTTTGCCCAAATATAGTAACCCCTCCCTCCTGCCATCTTCCGGCAGTGACGTCACGGTGCGGTAAGCCTAGCGCCATTCTCCCCACTTTACAAGCTAAATCAATGGGAACTACTAGACACATCTGCAATCAACAACAATTATTGAAGATTTTCAGAGGACTTCACCATTGAAATTCACCAGAGCTATAGTGAAACTGACAATGCCCACGTGCATGGCAGCTGGATGTTGGAATACATTGAGTAAAAGTTAAAAAAAAAGGAGTTATTTCACCTTTCCGATTCCTGATCCTCTACGGACGGGTTCGTCGTTGGATGGCCAGAGAAAAAACACGTAATATGTAGCCAACATTTGGAAGAAGAATGTTTTCAAGATGACTTGGATAATAGCGCGTTGTGACAAACACCAGATACAGCACTGGGACTTGATCAACAGCCGATACCGCACCGTGACGTCACAAACCAGTAGGTGGCAGTAGTGTTCTTTGACAAACATGGATGCCTCCAGTAAAGCACATTCAAATGAAAATTACTCTTAATTAAAAACACTGATCATTTATTGAACGGTATGTATTAATTTCATATTTAAAGTACTTTCAGAAGTTTAAATTCTGAATATGACCGGACCTTTCGTTTAAGCACTGGTTAACAAGCTAATAGCAATTTTTAAAAGCACTAATTAAATGTCATATTTACCCATTTAGAAATATAGACATCAATGCTTTAAGAAGGGAAAATTACGTTAAACAAAACTTAAAACATTAGACAAGATAACAGGTTTTGGTACCTTTTCATTCAACTGCATGGCTGCTTTACATACAGCTACAATCCTTTTGATTGTATGTTTCTAAAGTTTGTTTTATACTGCAGTAATTCAATCAATAAACGTTTTACTTGCTGAAATTAAAATTAAATGAAGGGAGTTACAACTGCAGCACAGATGAATAATCTGTAGTTTTTGGTATTACTAAAACCTGCTTCCATTTTTTTGTATATTATCTGTCTTTGTTTGTTTTCATACTTTTTGGACCTTAGTGTCTCCTGAGAGGAAGCATAGCCGTAGACTTAGTGTGCATAGTTTTAGAGTCCGGGTGAGATTCTCATGACCTGGGATCTGGGCTTCCCCTGAGGATGTTCACCAGACTAATGTCTAGATGATCCATTTAAAGCCATAAACCGATAGACAGTGAGAAAATGAGATTCCAGATTGATGTTCTAATCAACACTGCACAGATTCAGCAGAATAAAGGACTTCTGCGAAAATATAGGGTGATGCCATGACAGCATAAGGCTAAAAATCCACAGAGAGTATTAACTTTAAACATCTTTCATCTGTTGGAGTGGAGCCTGTTATGTTTGATAGCAGCTCTGTAGTGCACAGGGAAAGCTTTATGGTTTGTCCTGAAAGCGCTGTAAGATGAATTCAATAATTAAATACTGAAATGCCACATCAGAAAGAACAGGCTGAAGCTTTTTCATCATGCTGAATGTCAGCTTTGTGTTTTGTATCTGGCTAAATGCAGTGGGCTGGTGGAAAATAACTGTCATTGCAGCGACTTTGGGTAAGAATGACAAGTGTTTCTGTCTG